GATATTATATATGCCCTTTATTTATATTATTTATATTATAGTTCATACCTATATATAGGCCTTCTGATATTATTACATATTATACCTTTAGAATTAATACTTCCAGCGAATTATAAAAAAGAGTATAATACAAAAGATGTAATGATATAATAAATGTATTATTACATGTATTACTATAATTATAATTATAAGTATAATTATGATTATTATTAATATTCAAGCAGAGACTCTATAAAGTCGCTAGCAGTTATATTGTATTTTGAGTGCTTTGTTTACAATCTACCTCTCCTCCTCTATAGATCTAGAGAAGGCTTTCAGGTTCAGCTTCTGGTTTCACCTGTGACTGACTGACTGTGGCTTGGGCAACATTTGAGTTTGACGCCTTTGAATTGTGCCTTCCTAGACGCTGTTTTCACACTCACACCAGATTTCCGAAATTCAGGGAACACGATGTCGAGTGATGAAGAAGACTACATGTCCGATGCCTTTCTCAAAGCTTTAGAGAAGTGAGATTTAGTGTGAGCAAAAATTCGTGACGGCGACTTAATTAACTGTCGATCATAGACTCTCCAGTCTCCAGTCTCCAGCTTTTGCACAAGGGAGTGTATACAGACCCGGTAACCGGGAACAAAGTCACAAAGTATACAGACCCGGTAGGGGAACTCTTTTGTGATTTCGGAAAGTTTCAGCGCCTTCTTGGCTCAAGGTAGACCTAGAATCTAGGTTCTTCCAGGGCGATTTTGTAGTTTCGTTCGTTAAAGTCAAGAGATGGGGGGTTTCAGGGGGGCTTGGCCCCCTGACCTAATAAAAATATGGAGGTTGGGGGGTTCAGGGGGGCATGCCCCCCTGAATGTTTTCCTAATGTGATGTTTTAAAGTTAGGTTGCATCCCTGCTCTTTGTGCAGCCTATTTCAAAGAGAGTATTTGGTCATCAAGACTTCTAGATTTCTTCTCTGGATGTAAACAAACGGGTCGTGGACTTAAACGAACGGAACTACAAGATCACCTCTTCTAGTAGATCTATGGCCTAGGCTAGGTCTAGATCTAGATCTAGACAGACAGACATAAATCCTTGGTCTAGTTTCGAGGCTAGCCTAGATCTAGATCTAGATCTAGATATATCTAGATCTGGATCTAAATGAAGATTGCTGATGTCTTTTCGATGAACGATCGTTTTTCCTCCGTTTTGGAGTTGGAGGAATTACAATTTGAAGAAAAGAACAATGTCATAATTTCTCTCGAGCAGTCATCCTCTCTATTTCTCTCTCGCTCTGTTGCGCTTATTCTTTTTTTCTTTGTTTGTCTCTGTCTTTCTTTCTCCCCACCTATTTTCCACTAGATCTAGACGTCTATATCTTTCTCTCGTTCCCTCCTGCCAACTGGGGCATGTCATACATTATGCTAGCACTTCCCCCTGCTCTTTCTCCCCCCCCCCCTCTCTCTCTCTCTCTCTCTCTCTCTCTCTCTCTCTCTCTCTCTCTCTCTCTCTCTCTCTCTCTCTCTCTCTCTCTCTCTCTCTCTCTCTCACACACACACACACACACACACACACACACACGCGCACACACTACCGGGTCTGGGCGCTGAAACTTTCCGAAATCACAAAAGAGTTCCCTTACCGGGTCTGTATACACTTCGTTTGCACAATGAC